AACAGTCTGGGATTCTGTGATTCTGTGAAATTGCAGCACTGACATTCAATAAAACCACAGGATTTAGCAGAAGGATCCATGTCCTGTTATTCCCCCTCACTGTGTATGGGGCAGATCCTTGTCCCATTTCTGCAATTTACTTCCCCCATCTGTAAAGGGAGGTAATTCCCAAACTGCTGAAAAATATTCTTAGCCTGGTAACATAAATTAAGAGAAAACCCTTGGTCTCTTGTAAACACGAGACTATCATAGTATCACATACTGCTGATGGATTACTGGTTTTTATTGTTGCTGGGTTATTATCGGGTATCTCGTGCAGGTTTCTATTAATATTTCACAGCTGCACAGGTAAATTCTGAAGGTCAATGGTTAATGAGGTGTCTCTCAAGATAAGGCTCGCACTGTTTTACTGTGCCCCTTTGCACGCAGCCTGTGACAGAGACCAGACTGTGTTACGCTGGAGGGCGCAGCTCTGCCATCTTTACACCGTTTTGGCTTTCATCAAAAGCACTCTCACATCTGCTCCTTTCCCAGTTCGAGATGCAGGGCTGGATTTGGGGCGGACCAGGAAGTGAGGCTGTGGGCGTGCGTGCGGTTCATTAACTGCACGGTCCTCCGTAATTCAAACAACTTTACACAAGAAAACAGCATGATGGAAAGGTAGCAAGACAAGAAATAATATCACACGTGGAAAAACTCTGCTTCGGCATGTGTACCTGGAGAGTCCTGATGGCACTGTGCTTCCTGCAGCAGATCAGAGGTACAGTTCTCATTACTTTTCATTTCACTACCTACATGGCTTTGCTTGTAGAAGGGAAGACAGCTTAAATGGGAATGATTCACATCAAGTGAAATATGCCACTGTAAAGAAATGGCAATTTCAAATCTGTCTATAGATTGTGTCTTGTTGCAGGCTAGCGATGTAAGTATTTACCTACCAGAAATGGTAAGTATAGAAAAGTAGAAGTGGGAAGCCTGCACGCTGCATCTCGCTGCGTACGTGGGAGGATTTGCCTTGGAAGAATTGGGGTTGAATGGGCAGTGAGAGTCCCTGCGTCTGCCTTGTCCAGGGGCTGGGAGCTGGGAGCGCAGGGGAGTGAGGCTGGAGTCTGTGGAGGGTAAACCAGGTCACAGGGAAACCCAGTAAGACCACAGGGGAAGCCACTCAGAATGACAGAAAAAAGCTGTTGAGATGAAGATGCTTTATAAGAGAAGAGGAAAACACGACTCGATCACAGACATGCCTGCTACAATAACCAACTTCCAGTCTCAAATGAACCATGCTGCTATGCCCCAAATTTTGAAACCACCTCGGTCAAAACCAGGTGATATCCCCTATCCCCAAAGATATATTTAATAATTCGCACCATTTTCCCTTTCCCAGGTCACGTTCATCTTCCCCCTCCTCAAAACGTCACGCTGCTGTCAAAGGATTTTGACATGATCCTGACGTGGGCTCCAGGAGAAGGCTCTCCACCAGATGTGACGTACACGGTGAGGTACGAAAGGTAAGCGCTCACAAGGGACGTCTGACTGAAGGTCTGGCACAGGGCAAACCTCTGTGTGTGCATTAATCATCAAAATCAAATGTAATTACGGTCAATGACCTGGCTGCATCCTCTCACCAAAACCAATCCTTATCCATCTGGAAAGCGCTCCAAACTGTGAACAGGATTTGGTACCAAAACACTTCCTTCTCTTGCCCTATAAATGATAACAGAACAGCACGTTTAACATCATGGCATGCTTGTTTCTTCTTTTAGCCAAGAACGCAAGGACAAATGGATAAAGGTTCAACATTGCAAAAATATTCACAGAACCTCCTGCAATCTGACTTGTGTGTTCCCAAACATCTTTGTTAAAGTCCGGGCTCGAGTAAAAGCTGTTTCTGGACGACTGCAGTCGCCGTGGGTAGAATCACAATTCAAGGAATACCATTTGGATGGTGAGTGTCTGCTGGGTACAGCCTGGGTGGAAGCACAGCCCAACAACAGTTGTGTTCATCAGTGCTTCAGGTGAACAAACTGGCTTCAAGCTTTCCACACACCGGGGGGTAGGTTAGATAAAAAGAGCTGTTCCTGTGCTTTCTTCTTCCTTCTTCCTGTCACAAGCTAACAGAAGAGCAGATCAGTCACAGAAAAGCAATACTTCTGTGGAGGTAAGGCACAAACAAGCACCGTTCTTATGTCTGGTCACTCAATTGCAGTGGAGCTGGCTCCCCCAGTGCTAAACGTGAAGGAAGAGGAGAATTCAGTCCATGTGAATGCCTCCTTCCCTTTGCCCAGCTGTATGGAGAGATTCTCCTGGATGTATGACTTGAACTTTTGGGAAGCTGGATCAGCAGACAAGGTCAGTACAATGGCACTTCTTGGATGAACCAGAGGAACCATGCCCAGCTCGAACTGAAAGAGCTTCACATTTCTGGGCAAGGAGGGACTGGATTCAGGGTGGTGAAAACGAAATGGCCAAATCAGAGTAAATCAAAGCCAGAGATGTGTTTTTGTGTGTGCATCCTTATTTTATTGGTAGTTCCCTTTCCTATTCTATTCCTATTTTTATCAAGAAGATGTGATGAGGAGGCTACACTGTATAACAGGGCAGTATGTGAGGTTTAAGACAGGTAGTTCAGGTACCGGTAAGGCCGTGCCATGGCAGCACAGACACAGCACCAGCTGGAAATCCCACCCTAGGATCCGTAAGCCCTAGGAGAGATGTAAGACATGGGGTGCCTCCCCATGCACCTCCCAACCACTGGAGCCAAACAGCACAATAAAGAGAACGATGGGCTAAAAAGGTAGAGAAACATCACCCAAATAATGAAGGATTCACCTCTCCAACCCTCTGATCTTTGTGTTTCTAAACAGAAACAATACGAAAGAAACTTTAGGAAGAACACAGTGGTTATCGACACCACTGCACTCAGAGGCAACTACTGCTTAAGTGCCAGATCTTCCTTCCAAAGCGTTGACTTCAAGTACAGCAAGTTCTCTCCACCAGTGTGCGTGCTGCTACACCACCCAGGTACGGCTCTGCCGACCAAGGGATGTGGTGAGACATCAAACAGGCTGAGGGCAAGTCAAAGGTTTCCACCAAAATGAGCTTTTCAACAAAAAAAGCAGGCTTTCTGTGAAATGGACTGGTTGGATTTCACTTTTCTAGTGAAAGTTTCCTGCTTTCTGCAGAAACATGTTCATTAGAAACATCCTACCCTGAAATATTTTCTGCAAATCCTGAAATATTGTACTTGGACAATGAAAATCAGGGAATATTCAAATTTATCCTGAAAAATATGTGAGTAAAGCCTCATTTTTACCTGCTCCAAGTAAGGCACTGGCTGGTATCAATGTTCATTTCTATCTGTGACTCTGACTTAGAGTCTGATCCTACACAAGTCTGTTATCATTCCTCTGCATTTGTAAAATCAGGATCTTGAGCCTAACGTTTTCTGAGATTTCTGAAAGAAAAGCTGAGCATAAAAGCCCATTCTTAGTATAAAATACACCACCAGCAGGAGATTAGTTTTGTCTTTCTCTCTTTCAGCAGTGGAGTGGAAGTTCCCATTTTCTGCCACGATCCCCCTCGTCGTCCTCCCCGTCTTTCTGACAAGCGCCTCCATCTTCTGCTTCCTGAAACAAGACGCTAAGCGGCAGAAGATGCCTCGCGCCTTGGTATGGCCCAAATGCTGGGGTGCCCTCCTGACTCCAAGTCTTGCTCATTTTCAGAGGGTAGCTGGGGAGGACTGGGGGACTCATGGGCTCTGCATACTCAGTTTTGCATTCAGAAGTGCTGTAATAAGTGAGCTTTCACTCTGGCATGTCCTATATCCCAACCTTTCGATAAAAAGCATCACTAATTCACTGATCTGTATGTCTTGTTTCTTTTCCCTGGCAGGATTTATCTCATTTAAAAGCTGCTGGATCGGCCTTTCACTGTGAACCCAGCGAAAATGAATTTTTCAGGGACTACCTTATCTGCACAGAGAAGCCAAAGTCCCAAAGGAAGACAAACAAAACTTTAGCAAGAAACAACCTACCATGGATGGCTTCTTTCCTATCATCATCATCATCATCATCAGAAGAGGAGGATGAGGAAGAAGACAGGAGTATTTTCATCCCATACACTGAAGTGATTCGGTTTCCAAAGAGATGTCTCAACTCTCAACCACCCAGAGCAGCTCAGGGGGAAACCAGCTCGGACTCCGGATCTGGAGGTCTCTCTGTGGACAGTGAATCTGTCCTTGACCTAAGTACCTCAGGTTTCTCATTCTTTCCAATAAGAAAACATGAGGTGGACACCTCAGGATCCCAAGGAAGGGGGAAGGCGTCCCTCTCTCGCAGTTCCTCTTTGGGAAGAATATCCCTCACGGATGTGAGATTCCCAGCTCCCAGGGAACATGGACAGCAGGACAGAGACAGCGACGGGTGCCTGGAAATGACCCCTTTTCAAACACCCATGGATGGGATTTGTGCCAAACACCCAGCCGATGAGCACTGCCTGCATAGGAATGCTCATCATCTCACCAAGTATTACCCAAAAGCAACGGTCGATCTGCGTGTCCACACGGGTGAGACACCACAGCTCGGTGAGGATCCCAGCACCCAGCTGCTCATTGCCCTTCAGCCATCACAGGTGGCAGAAGATGAAGGCATCGCAAGTGACTGTGACAGCGACAATTTTACAGACAGACACGTCCCGCATCCACGGTGCTAAGTGACAGGATTGAAACTTCAAATATGAAGGAAAAATACAATCAAAAGTTTAAATTCAAAAGCTACAAGACCTCATATTACATCAGAAGGAGCTAGAGTACCCCAGCAGTTCTGTGACGGGTCTGGAAAATGCTGGAGAGCTCCAGGTATCCAGGCAAGGACACCAGCAAGGACAACTATCCCATGGTGGTGCTTTCTGTATTTATTCGCCTAGACAGAGTTTTTTCCACTGATGTCTGGCCTAGCAAGGTCCAGGGCTTTAGGGACACAAAAGGTGTATTTTTACTGCTCAGTAACTAATGTATGTTCACCATCCCTCTGTCCAAATATTGCTGTGATAAGGTGGCATGCTATCGAACCTGTACCTGCAGTGGTACCTCGTGGGTGTTGCACAGCAAACAGCAGAGAGAGAGACCTCAGAGCAAGGGAACGTTTACATGTGAGCGATGAAAGGCAAAACCACCTCTGAGACAGCAGAAACACAACCTGGAGCTGTGTGAAACCGTCAGCTGGTTCTGAATTCGCAGTGTTGGTTGGTTTTGAGCCAGGATGAGCTGCTTGTGTTACATTTGCTTCCCTGTAACAGCAAAACTGCATCCCTGCTTGGCTGGAAGTAACCGTACAGAGACATTTAACAGCCTCGGCTTTTAGGGGGATGAGGATATCTCCACCTCATCCTACAGAGATCACATTCTGTGTTTCAGCAGAGTGAAGTGACAGTGATAAATGCGCAGCGTGTTTGTTTATTTATTTATTTTGGGTTTTATACAAATCTACTTATTGAAGCTGAAATTCTGAGAGCTGCTTTATGCAGAGGCAATAATATTTTGATATATAACTCCATGCGTCTGTGTGTTTTTATGCTTCCCAGAACTGCAAAGGGCGACTGCAGCTCTTCCTGAAAAATATTACATTTTAAAACAGGGCTCCGTCATGGGCTTCCCATTCCAAATGCTTTGGCTTGAGAGGAATCCTGCAAGACTTTCCTGTCAGGTTTTTGATTTGAAAGAGGAAAGCAAGAGGTCCCAAATTAAAGGTCCCAAATTAAGGTCCCAAAGCAAGGTCCCAAATTAAAGGAAAAAGAGAAGGTTGGAGAAAAGATTCATCAACTAGATTTTTCCTTTTTCTTCTCCCCTGTCCTCAGCAAAGCATCCTTGGGTACATCCTGCACTGTAATCCCTCCTGTTCATTTAGAAAGATAAAGATCACCCAAATCCAATCACCACCCTTTCCCTTGTGCAATCCAGGAAAAACCCCAGGCTCGGTGTTACAGGAAGCACTGGAGTTGTGTAACCGCTACAGAGTTATTTTGACAAGTCACAACTCTGCACACAGGGCCCGGGATCAGCAATGTGCCCTGGTCAGCTTTGCTCAGGGTGGAAGCTGGGGAAGGCTGCAGGCCAGGAGAGCTGCACTGGTGCAGGCAGCACCTTTTGGAGATCTTCAGGTACTTACAGATCCAGAGAGTTGCTTCCTGGGCTATTCAAAACACAACATCTCTCTGGAAATAAGACCAGGAATAAAGTTTGAAGCTCCATTCTCAGAACTACAGTCTCAGATGCACGACAGTTTCCCTCATTTCTGCCCTATCATGGGTCACACAGAATCACAGAATCGCTTGGTTGGAAAAGACCTCTGAGATCATCACGTCCAACCGCTCCTGTCTACCCCCTAAACCATATCCTTAAGCACCTCATCTACTCGCTCCTTAAACACATCCAGGGATGGTGACTCCACCACCTCCCTGGGCAGCCTGGTCCAGCTTCTGACGACCCTCTCAGTACAGAACTTCCTCCTTATCTCTGACCTGAACCTCCCTTGGCACAGCTTGGTGCCGTTTCCCCTTGTTCTATCCCCCATCACCTGGGAGCAGAGCCCAGCACCCACCTCTCCACAACCTCCCTTGAGGCAGTTGGAGGTGGTGATGAGGTCTCCCCTCAGCCTTCTCTTCTCCAGGCTAAGCAAGCCCAGTTCCCTCAGCCGCTCCTCATCAGGCTTGTTCTCCAGAGCCCTCCCCATCCTTGTGGCTCTTCTCTGAACACGCTCCAGAATCTCAACAAAGCGATCAAAATCCCAATCTCAAAAGTGGGGGTCAGCGCACAGCAGAAGCATGAGGCAGTGACGTGAGGGGAGGAACAAAATAGAAATACTTTAGCAAGCTATTCAGGAAACACCCTAACGAAGAGCTGTACCTAATTAAAAGCATGCCATGCTGGTGCCTAGGTGTGTCTTGTTTAGTAAACCTGTGAGGCTTGTGCATTTGTCCAAGGGAGATGAGAAAGACAAAATGACAGCAGGGCATCAGTGGCACAGTTTGAAGCACATAGCCCTATATATATTGCTAATATTGAAGCAGGGCAGGGAAGAGAAACAGCTTCAGACACAAAAAACCCATGAGATGAAGAGGTAAGCAGAAGGGGCAGTCATTTCTATCACAAATAGAAGTAGAGTGCATTCAGCCTCAGAAGCACACATGGGTTGTGTTTTGATTAAATTGGCAGCAGGTGGGATGTTGCTTATGTGGCTCACTTGTAATAATAAGAAAAATAATCTAGCATTTAAGAGCTTTAAATAGGCTTTAGATAATAAAAGAGCACTGCTCCTGAGGAATTTGTCTAATGCACAGTCGCCCTGTGTGGTTTAGGGCAGATATTTCTGCTGAAGCTTTTCTAGGGCTGTTCTCAGGGCTCAGGACAGTTCAGTTGGCTTTGGTTTGGAGGAACCTCGGCTTTGGTTCGATCAGTCCTAGGCAAAACTGAGAACAGGACTTTCCCTGTGGACAGTTAAGACCACGGGATAAAGTAAGCCAGAGAAACAAGCCCGGGAGGTCATGCAGCCTGTGTCGAGGGAATAGCGATGCTGTAAAAACACGAAAGCAGTGGCTAAGGGAGTTTCCTAAGCCTCAAACGCAGGTGGGATGTGTAAGGCTTTCTCTTTTTCTTTCTTAGGACATCTTGGTTAAAATGAGCACATGCAGCTGTACCAGTTCCTCAGATGTCACACATCTGCTGGTTCTAAATCCACACCTCCTGGAGACAGGCGATGTTTTCACTTTTGACGAAAGAAGGAAATATTTCTCCCTTTTCTAAGAAAAGCCTGAAAATGTAACTTAACAACACCCTAACGATGCTATGGAAAAGGAACTGTACGTCTGTCTTGTTTAGATTTCATACAGACTCCCAGTTCTTGCCATATGGCATTCGTGATACTCAGAGCAGAGCTTTACATTGTAAGCAACCACAAAAATAAACTGTAGGTCTACGGTGGCCACTGAGAAAAGCCATGGGACAGGACGTGCTGCTCCTATGGCAAAGCCACCTCCTTCTATGTCAAACGAGGGAACCTCTGCAGCCACCTGGCACCGCAGACCCAGGGCAGGTTTGAGGAGCTCGAGCTCTGCCCCGTACGCAGCAGGGCTACGCGTTACTCATTCGGCTCCCATCCAAGGCCAGGATGAACAACAGAAGCTTGAAAACCATTGAGCTGGCTGACTTTCGTTTTAAAGAAGTATTCGAAGGTATTTCCTAAGGAAATAGGTGTCTTGCTTGCAGCATTAATAAAACTATGGTGCACAGCATTAATAAAACTATTAATAAAACTAAATGGTGCACAGCATCCAGATTTAATTTCTGGAGTTTTACCGAGTCAAAGTTACCCGACCAGAAAAGCAAGTCCCAAAACTGAGAGACCTCAGTGAAGGCTTTCAGGCAGGAAGCTCTTTATCAACAAAATGGTATTTGGCTCTCTTTCAAAAGCTGGGGATTTTCTAAGCCTCTGGCTTGCGCACCTTTGTACAGCGAGGAGTTGTGCTCAGAAGGGAGAGGTGCTCCCGTTGTCACTCGTACACATGCGCACAGGTCCCTGGCTGCTGGGCCGGGATCCGCACGCAGGCGGACGGCAGCTCCACACCGGTTACTGAGCAACAAATCCACCCTGGCCCCACGAACACGAACTGAGCTCCTGCAAAAGGTGATTCACCTGCACGCAGGATCAACTGCCTGCTCTCCCAGCCCAGCTCGCATAGTTATTCATGAAGCAATTTCTGATCGTCTTGGGTGTATTTTCAGTGGTCGGTAAGTCCTGATTTCTCCTTTCCTGTTGCTGACGGTGGTTGTTTCTGTTCGGTCCTGTCGATGGGAGGTAGTTCAACCATGTTTGCTGAAATAAGACCTAGAGACAGGGCTGTTGTCTGAGGCTGGTCTGTGTTGCTCTCTCCTTCTGATATTTCGATTGGTGTGCTCAGTGCTTCAAGGTTTCATAGGTAGAAGAAAAGATTCCTCTGCTTCACAGTGTTTGGTGCTGCTGTGTTACAACCCAGGTCCTACAGCAGTAGAGGATATTTATTGACTTCAGGACTGGGGATTTGGGTCAACTCCCGCTGTGTCTTAAGCAGAGACACAAATGAATACAAGAACAGACCTGATTTTAAAAGAGGTACAATCAAACAATGTATCATGAAAGCCATTTAATCCAGATGTGGCAAACTCACTTCTTGGGTGAATCAAGAATTAACTTGCTATGTGTTCAAATGCCAGCTTCTCAGCGAGAAACCTTAGCGTGCATCCGCTCGTGTGTCCGTAATCTCACACTGTAGGGATGGTGCCTTCGCAAACTTCTAAACCAGAGGGACTTTCACACTGTGAAATATCCTGGCTTTTCCCTGCTCACACTTGGCTGTGCTTTTGGTTACGCTGTGTTTTAGTATGGAAAAATGTGGGAAGATGGAGACTTCTTCCTTCTGATACGATCAGGGTATTGGTGACTCAGTTTTCATGGTGCTCAGAGAGGGAAATCCATCTGTTTTATGCTGACTGCCGCATTTCTGCCTTGCTGAAAAGGTTGTGCTGAGCCTCGCGTGAGCTGAGGCCAATGTTGAACTGCAGATGAGGCCAGGACAAAATCTGGGCTAGACTGCAATCCATTTCTGCGCTGCTTCCCTACCCAAATACCACACACAATGAGACTGAGCACAGGATCTCTGTTCCTGTGCCTAATTCTCCTCCTGTACATGTGGTGGTTTAAACCGCTGCCACTCGGCTCTCCTCCATGGGGCAGCCGGAGGGAAAGCTTGGAGCGAGGAGCCAGGAACTGGTGTG